CAAAACTCTAAACATGATTTGGATAGTCAAAAGAAATTGATAGATGTGAAAAGAATAAATCAAACAAAGATACAATAAAACAAAAAGAAAAAGGAGAAAAACCTCCTTTACAACATGAATCATAAATGAAAGAATTAGCATAAACATTAATGTTAATTAGCAAGAAGACAAGTTCAATTCAACTAGCGTTTTTCTAGGAAAGATAGTAAAAAAAAAGAGAAAGAAAGCAAATTTATGTAATTTTCCAAATGGACGTGAGATTGTAATTTATGTAAAAACTCAACGTGGTTTACACTGAAAATCATATATGTTAATAATCCAAGATCTAGGAAAGAAACCCATGTATTATTACCCAAGTTGAAACAAGTAGTGTTGGGTTGATTCACTGCATAATAGCTGCAAAACAAGGTTAAGAGTTCAAATCTAGTGATAGCTACACATTAACTTTAAAATTCCCAAAAAAAATAAAAAAAAAAATCCCATAAATCAACCTTAAGAATTCCCATATTAATCGCAGATAAAACAAGGAGGGAGCAGTAAGTATCTACAAAATAATCGGCAGAACACTTTTCAATTAATGGGTCTTTATTTCTTGCGTATTAAGAAATGATCAAGAACTTCTACTCTCAATTTCTTTCATCTTTTTCTGACAGACCAAACAGAAAAAAAAAAAGAACAGAACCTTAACATTGCTACACGAAAAAGCAGAAGAAAAACGAAAAGACCAAGATGAGCCATACGGTATCGTAAAGAAATAGCACAATGAATCTGTCAAAATCAAAGCTTGGAACGATTTTGGATATCCGATTTCAACATAATATACAAACATGAACAAAAAATGAGAAGGGTTTCTCCGAATCCTCACCTACTTTTTGATTGACGCACAGAGAGTGAGAGAGAGAGCCTGTAAGTATGGCCTCCACCTTTTTATCCTATTTATATAAAGAAGGAGAAAAAGGTAAAGACCTGTACGGGGCTTTAATGGACCATTGTCTCCCGTTGATTTCAACTTGAAGGCCTTTGATTTTCTAGAGACGTCGGTTTCTTCCCCCGTACTATTCTTTTGTCAAAAGTAAAATAAAAGAGATAAAGACGTCGGTTTCTTCTCCCGTACTCTTCATTTGTCAAAAGTAAACTAAAAGAGATAAAGACGTCGGTTTCTTCTCCCGTACTCTTCACTTGTCAAAAGTAAAATAAAAGGGATAAAGACGTCGGTTTCTTCTCCCGTACTCTTCACT